AGTCAAATTATTTGAGCAAAACAATTTTTAAGTGGTTAAAATTGTTGCTAAAGTTTGAAAATAGCTTTTTGGCTTTTTTTGATCCACCCCTAGCACCATACTATGGAGAAAATTATACGGTTAAGTTGGCTGGCTGAAAAGTGACAACGAAAAACTCTTGTCCGGGTAATTTTGCTCATATTTCCTAGAAAGCTTTGGTCTAGCTTCAGGTCTACAAGTGCGCAATTTTCATTTTTGAAAGAACCGATAGACAACTCAAAAAGACCTACGCGTTTCTGATCGACGAAATGAGCGCCATCGATTTCACCCGGTACAACCACGTCGGCTACACGAGTCGAGACAATGCGCTCGCTGCTACGTGTCAAATATGGTTTGCCCAGTTTCGTTTTGGAGACAAATCTTTGAAAGATGCAGAGGGCTGTAGAGTTGCACTCGAACTGGATGACTCCAAATTACTTGAACTTATTACCAACGACCATCGGATGTCATCGCGTGAATTGGGATAAGTGTTAGGGGTCAATCCTGCTACAGTGCTAAGAGACCTTCGTATCCTTGAATTTAAATCGAAACTTGGGGCTTGGGTGCCTCATGACCTCACTGACCCCCAGAAGAGGCAGCGTCACTGTCGATCAGTGTCGCCCATCTCTCACGATACGAAAGGAAATCTTTTCTTTCTCGAATTCTTTCTTTCTGGAATTCTTTCTTTCTGGAATACTTTCTTTCTGGAATTCTTTCTCGAATTCTTTCTTTCTCAATTCTTTCTCGAATTCTTTCTTTTTCTACTACAAAAGAGGAATCCGGAATTTGCCTATAAAATGGGCAAAAGTCTTGGAAATTATTTGGAATCAATTTATGATTTTATGTTGAATAAATTTGAGTTCAAAGTTCCACAGTTTTCAATTCACCAACCCAATTGCTAGATTCGCCAAAAATTGCGATCGCTTGGACGAACGAGGGCCATGAAGGAGAGAAGGGTTTCCGCGTCTCCGATCATCACTACGAGAAATTTCTTCGGGATAATAGAGAAAAAGTTGGACTTTGGCAAAAGCCTTAATGTACCTATTTCAGCTAAAAGATGCCTTTCTCATTGTGATGGGCGACCATGGACAGAAAGGAAGCAAGGTTTGAAAAATATCGATGACCAAAAACGCTTTCTCGAATAGATAGGCGACACCGAGCAAGGACAAGTCGAAAATCTCACGCCACTGATGCTTTTCTCAATCCCACAAAAACTTCGGTAAAATGCATTTTTTGCATCTTTTGTTTGTGCATCTAGCCATTTAGCAACGTTAGATTCTACAGAACGTTCCGGCTAGCGGTTGAAATTCGGTAATTTGCTCTTTTATCGTATACAGTCGTCAAAAAAAGTCTTGGCCGGTCAATGTTCACTTCAAAAATAGTAGCGCTCACAAAAGAGATCACATCCAAATATATTGACCACAAATGTTAGATTGGCAACTGGAAAGTTGGTACACTTATTCATTGCATTTTTGAAATAACTAGTGCAATTAATCTACAGTTTTTATCAACAAAAAAGTCTATTTATTCTCTAAACTATTTTAAATCCTCAATATATAAGCTCGATCTTGTAGCTCTGTCAATTTTAAATTAGTTTTTAATGTCATATATACGCGTGTCTAATTGTAGTTGTGTTTGTATATCAATTATCTTTCTTCGTCTACGCTGTTCAATCTGTTTGCATTGTCACTTTTCCTTGTCGGATAAAGTATATATATATATAAAACAGGCTTCTGACAGATTTAGAAAAGCTTTGGCTTTGTAGGTTTCTAGGGGCAACAAGGTTGAGGAACCAAAAATGATGAACACTCGATGAAGCGATTGGAGCATTTTCTTCCAAAGAAACCCATTTCGGTGTCAATATAAAAAGAGCATAAAAAGCTAAATCTTATTTGGCTAAAGTACTATGGGATACCATTATTCATTTCACTTTTAGAAATAATTAGTGCAATTAATCTACAGTTTTCACCAATAAAAGTCTATTTATTCTGTAAAAGAGGCTTTTGACAGAAATTTAGAAAACCTTCGGTTTTGTAGATTTCTAGGGGGCAACAAATTGTGCAACCAAAAATGATGAACACTCGATGAAGCGATTTGAGCATTTTCTTCCAAAGAAACCCACTTTGGTATCAATATAAAAACGATAGAGCATAAAAAAGTTAGGCATGTAGCCAAATTTTCAGCTAGGATCTAATCAATTTACAACAACAAATTGAGGAACCAAAAAAGGATGAACACTCGATGAAGCGATTGGAGCTTTTTCATCCAAATAAACCTATTTTAATGCCAAAAAAAGAGAGCATAACAAGTTAGGTAAATAGCCAAAAAAAAGCCTAAGAATATCATCTTAAAGCTCTCACAAAATACTACAAAAACTAATTGGGATCGGCTTATTTGAATGCGATCTAACGGGAGAAAAATGAGAAAACATTGACCGGTCAAGACTTTTTCGACTTTTTTCGAAGTCGGTAAGCGGACATTTCTTGTAAAAGATAGAAATTATTCATAATTGACATGTTTGCCGGCAAAAGAAAGTCAAAGACAATGATAAAAAAAGCAAAAAAAGCTGGGTGCTAAAGTGATTTTTGGAAAAATTTAAAGCTTTTCTTTTTTCTTATTTTCTATGCAGATTTGATGTTAATACACGTTTTAGCGTTCAGAAATGAAATATTTTTCTAATTAACATCATTTGTCAAAGTTCTAAAAACTTGACTATTGCAAAAATTATGGGTACGTCTATGCTTCTGTGGAGCACTATGAAAATATGGAAAGCAAAAGGCGCGCTCGCTTTATGGCCACAAACGTGGGCCACAATGTTCAAAAGTTAGTCAGTCTTTCGGTTGCACAAACAGCACGAAATAGAAAAAGGGTACTGTATTTTTTGACCCCCTTTCAAATGGGTCTTCTATTAGAGTGTTTACGGTACCCCTTATCCAGAAATACACCGCTCGAGGCGATGATCCGGAAAAACGCCGATCAAGTGTTCACGCCGCACGATCTTCACGCCACTCTCATCGATATTGTTCGGGTAATGCAACTCGTTTGTTTTCTGTTTTAGTTTTAAAGAAAGCAAAAAGATCTTCAGATCGTGCTTTTTAGCTACTCAGAAATTCTGAACACCAGGCCGCTTGCAATTAATTTATTCTAGAATCAAGCCCAATTTGGCTTTCGAGACACAAATTACTTGCGAATCAATGGTGAGCCTCGTTGTTTTGTGAGTGAGAGAGCTACAACTAAAAATTGATTATTTCAATATACATAATAACGTATAAATAGGTATAGAATATTTAAAAACTTCAATAGACGGGCTCCCTACCCCTTACCAGTCTAATTTGTGTCAAAGTTTTTCAAAAATGTCTTAGCTATTGTTTTTTTCTGTTTTAAATAAATATAGGGATTTTTACGTATAGAAAAGGCAATAAAAATAGCTAAAATGTGCAAAGTTAAAGGACAGAGTGTCTGATGCAAAAGTTCTGCTATGTACAGTTTATTCTACGTACAGTTTATTCTACGCACAGTTTATTCTATGTACAGTTTATCCTACGTACAGTTTATCCTACGTACAGTTTATCCTACGTACAGTTTATCCTACGTACAGTTTATCCTACGTACAGTTTATTCTACGTACAGTTTACGCCTCTATTCAAAATTTAGACAAAATTCATTCAAAAAAAGTTTAAGCTTTTAACTGACCGCCATCGAAGGAAACGGGCTTGGCCTGAAAAAGAAACTACATTCTAAAAGTCGATTTGCTCAATGGCTAGACCCTATGTACCGGTAATGACTTAGGAACAGAGCAGATAACAGCTCTCATATTTACAAGGGAAGATCAACTGGCTGAGACGGCCAAATGACATGCAACCTGTACCATTCGAAGCAGAATTTCACGCTGATTCAGAATCTGCTTTCCGTTTTACATACTAGACCACAGCCTACTAGAAACGAGGCCGCGCAAAAGGTTTTTACAAGGTAAAGTCGGCTGGCTAAGGCGGTCAAATACTATGTGAGTAATATCATTCGACGCAGAATTTTATGCTGATTTCGAATCTGCTTTCCGTTTTTGCTGAACGCTATACTGGAAAAAAGTTATAAACGTTTAAAGTTTTGTTAGGACTTTGAAAATCTGGGTTTTCGGTCTTAGGGGCCTTCTGCGCGGCCTCGTTTCTAGTAGGCTGTGGTCTAGTTCTAGGCTGTGGTCTAGTTCTATGCTGTGGTCTAGTTCTAGGCTGTGGTCTAGTCTTAAAATTGTCTATGACAGGCTTTATTGAGTTTAAAATCATCAGGGTCTTGCAAGAGTGCATGTTGGTTATTTTGTATTTTCAAATATTTTGTCGACTAGCTCAAGTTTCCTTTGATAATATTCGTTGTGAGTTCAGAGAAAATTGATCAGAAATTTGTCCTCATTTGAAAGAGGTGACTCAAGTCTATCAAATGAGCTCAAATATTCTAATTTTATTTACAGACTTCAACTGATTATTGAAAGAATAGATATGAGTAGGCAACTGTACGATCAAAAGTTCAAAAGTCAATCTACTCACACAAGTTGGCCAAGCGAAAAAATAAACAAAGTGCAGAGAGAAAAAAGAAAAGTGGTAAAGGGCTTTTTGACCTTTTTTCCTTCGCAAACAACTTCGGCACATCAAAAAATAAACTAGAGTTTTCCCCTCTCTATTCCACCAGAAATTGTCATGATTTTTTGAGGAAAATTCCATTGATTTATGCCCTTCTCTTTATCTTTTCGCTTCTTGTGCTTTCTAGTTTAGAGTTTTTTTCTTTTCATTTTCTTGAAATTTGAAACCCTCCGTTATCTTGAAATTTCTGGACCAAATTCAACCAAAAGGTCCGAAATGAAAAACATTTTTTTAGAAATTTTTTGAACCTTATTTTCTTAGTTTTTCATTGCAACAGTTTTTGGTCTCCCTTTTCAAAAACTTTTAAATGTTTTTAGTTTTTAGTTATCACCAGTTTTTTCTCGTTTAGTCATGGGTTTGTTGGTGGAAGGACGGTGGACAGACGACAAAGATGCCCCAAAAGGAATCAAAATGACAGTTTGTTGTTTAAAAGATTTTAAAAAGTGAAAAACCCGACTTGAAAAACAAAAGGAAAAACCGAACCGTTCAGCCATTCAACAACTGGGTGACCGTCGATGGACAACCCGGGCCAACGGGAGAAGGAGGATTCGTCGCTGAAAAAGATCGGTCTGTTTTAATCTAAAATCCTTTAATCTAAAGTCCTTTAATCAGAAATCAAGTAGTAAAGTGCGATAAAAAAAACGAAAAACTATTGGGTTGATGCATAATTATCCGGACTTCTTTTATAAATGATTTTATTTAACAAAAAATAACATAAATAGTTAGAAAAATATGTTTAATTGATTATTCTGGAGCATATTCACCGCCTACATCAATAACTGATTGCCATTTGCTTGGAAGACGATCGATTCCACGAGCGAAGAATAAACGATCTTTGGAGGCAATCCACGCTTTAACATCGTCTATCAAGTCATCCAAATCGTTGTAGATCTTATTTGTTTGCCAATTTTGAGCGATCGATTGACGTGGTAGTCCGTTGGGGCTTCTCCAGTTCTTTGAGATCGCGAAACGACTCTGCGGCAGACCATCCCTTTTCGAAGTGGTAGAGCATGATATGGCGAAGATGGATATGATTGTCGACACGCATTTTGTTCACTAAAGAATAACGAATATTTAAAAAAAAGAAATAGACAAAAAGCTTTCAAAACAAAAAAGATACAAGCACGCAAAAAGAAGTCCGGATAATTATGCATCAACCCAATACCTTTTCTGATGTCAATTGTTAGTTTTTCATTAGAATTTCTCTAAATCTTTTCTTGTTTTTTGAATTTCTTGTCACTTTCGTTATTTAGAAATTCTCCAAAGTTCGCGGAATTTCTCTTCTCTTTCAAGATCATATGCAAACATCAACATAAATTCTTTTCTCCATTCTATTTCTTAAATCGCGCCTCTTTATGATTTTTTTTATCTCTAACTCCTTGTTCTCTAAACGACTAGACCTGTATATATGTCATAGCCGATCTGCTATTTCAGCCGATCTGCTATTTCAGCCGATCTGCTATTTCAGCCGATCTGCTACTTCAGCTGATCTGCTATTTTAGCCGACTTGCTATCAAAACTTTTCGCTAGCCGATTTACTATTGCGGCTAGCCGCAACGATACCCCTTTAACGTCCAGGAGGTATTTTGAGGACCAGAATACCCCTTTAACGCACTCGCGACCAAAACCTCTTGGGCGTATAGTCGTGTAGTCCTAGCTATTTGTTCCCCAATCAATTAAAAGTTTACAGATAAAATTAGACTATTTGCGCTCTTTGACAGCTTTGAGTCTCCTCTTTTAAATGAATGCAAACTTCGGAGCAATCTCTGTTGAACCCATAGCAAAAATCATGAAAAACAGAATATTCGTTATTGGAACGATCCGCCGGTGGCGTGTTAAAGCTACTTTCGATTTATTCATTCAGATATCATCTGTATGTCTCGTACGGATGCCCTTACGCTCATCGCACGCTGATTCTATTGAAGCTAAAGGTGATAAAATGAAATTAACGCAAATATTGGGTTCTTGCAGTGAAAATGGGATACTTTTCAAATCTACATTTATTCAATAAGAAATCGGAAAATTATTCCAAATAATTTCCATTATTATTAACAACTTGTGTCCATTTTACAGTCAATTTACGAATTCCTTTTTCTTCGTAAAATTTTATTTTCTATGAGAGACAAGTGTGAGACTCAAAAATCGAGGACTGAAGATGCCACAGTTTGAGCACTTTCTTCAAAAGAAACCCATTTTGATGTCAATGGAAAAGTTGTAGAGAATCAAAAATTAGGCTTATAGCCAAATTTCCAAAAAAGAAACACTTAGTAGTTTCGCTTAAAATGCAAGTTTTGTGAAAATTCGTAAATTTGGCATTTCTTGAAAACCCGTTTTTGAATCGTTCTGGAAATTTGGCTATAAGCCTAATTTTTGATTCTCTACAACTTTTCCATTGACACCAAAAAGGGTTTCTTTTGAAGAAGGTACTCAAACTGTGGCATGTTGCGAAATAGCGTCCCATTTTCAATGCAAAGACCCAATTGCAACGGGTTCAGGGACTCGAGGACCTTTTGAGCGTGTCAGTGGTCAGTCCGATGATGCTTGAGAATGGATGGACATTTGATGAGACTTATCCAGGTGTGATATAAGCTCTTTCCCCAAAAAAGAAACTTGGCTTTATCCCGATAACGGCCCTCTTTCAAAAAATGATTAACTTTCAACTGAAAAAAAATCAACTTTTAATTGTTCAATTGGGCAACTTTTTGTACCAATAGATTGTGCTTGAATTCGGCTATTAAATCAAATAAAAAGCTTCGTTGGACAAGAGTAGTTGAGATTTTTGAGTTGAAATCGCGCGAAAAAGTGATTTCGATAGGTTTTTAATGGGAAATGTGTCGTTTTGAACGGGCGTAACTCGGATTTTTGAAGTTGACACACTATAGTATGGACTTTCTACCGTAACCAAACAACAAAAAACGGAAAGTCTATAAAGAGGAGCCACTTTTTGACTAGAGAAATACACTTTTCTTCTCCTTTGTTGAAATTTTCCTCTTTCTTGTTTGACTTTTCTTACTCCTACGTGGTATTCCTGAACAAAAAAACCCAAATTAATTAAACTCATAGAAAAATTTTAAAAAAGGAAAAGAAAAGTGTATTTCTCTAGTCAAAAAGTGGCTCCTTTTTGTAGTTTTTCCGTTTTTTGTTGTTTGATTACGGTAGAAAGTCCATACTATAATGTGTCAACTTCAAAAATTCGAGTTGCACCCGTTCAAAACGCTACCAGTTTGTGCAAACTTGATCAATCTCTATAATTTTTGCACAAAAAACATTCTCAAGATATATGCAAATAAAACTTGTTGCTTTGTTTTGCATTTTTCTCCTGATAATAGCAATTTATAGCGCTCGAAACCCAAAATATTGGGTTGTCCAGTTATGAATGCGCGTTTTTTACTATTTTGCAAATTTCTCAAGATATCGAACAGATGTATTTGAGTGTTATATATCATTCGAAAGCTGAAGATCTCCTCTACATTTTGATATAAAAGCTTTTGAATTTGTTCAGCTTTTGGGCAAATTGGCTGCACAGAAGAAGAGGTGGCCAAAAAATGGAAGGGTGCCTTTGGATCAAGTTTTGACTCCGCTCAAATTGAGTTAACCGTTTGATGTTTGGCCAATAGATATATCAATACAAGCTTTTTTAAAATATAACAATTTCGGAGCATCTTTACTTTTCTTTTCTTTTCTGGGCGGTTATTTTACACCATAAAACTTGAGGAATAGCTCAGCTGGAATGGGGTTTTTCGAAAACGACCTCTTCTTCTGTGCAGTCAATTTGCCCAAAAGCTGAACAAATTCAAAAGCTTTTTATATCAAAATGTAGAGGAGATCTTCAGCTTTCGAATGATATATAACACTCAAATACATCTGTTCGATATCTTGAGAAATTTGAGAAAAAGAAAACGCGCATTCATAACTGGACAACCCAATAGATCATTATTACATGGGAAAAGCAAAAAACTGAATTTTTAAAAATGGAGTCAAACGGATTTCAAAAAAAATTTTCGTATTTGAAATCAGGGTGCTTTTTTTACGTCGACTGATATCTTTTTTTGTTAAAAATCTATAAAAATCACTTTTTCATTAATGTATCACGCGGATCTAGGTGGCGTTATCATAGAGCCAAAAAATTTACATTTGTTGCTCCGTTTCTGACTTTCATTTACTGCCAACATTTCAGATGCAACCGTCGACCACCTCTACGGCTTTCAGTTCCTATACCAAGTCTACTTAAAGGTTTTTGATTTCAAAATAATAATAAATCACATCTATGTTCACAGTCCGATCCAAAATGCACGACCCGGGTCTCGGTGCCGGTGCTTTGGGACAAGAAACAGCACAAATTGGTGAGCACCGAGAGTGCCGACATCATTCGAATGTGAGAATGTGAATCGTTAATCCAATTATCTTCATGAAATAGGTTTCAAATTCGAAAATTTCAGGCTCAATTCGGCTTTCGATGGGCTTGGCGCAAATACAGGGGATTTCTACCCAAAAGAATTGCATACAAAGATCGATGAAGTGAACGAATGGGTCAATGATACTGTCGTCACCGGTAGGTTGTTTCTCCAAGCCAAAAAGCCATGGAGCTAAGAGCAAGCCAAAAGCAAGCCAAGCCGAAGCAATGACCTTCTCTTGGTTTTGGCCTGGTTTTTGGGGCGGGCCAATGAAAAGCAATGGAGCTAAGTTTTGTTTGTAATCAAAGAACGTCAATTCACAGGCGTCTACAAAGCCGGATATGCGCTGACTCAAGAGGGATACGACTTGGCTGTGGGAAAACTCTTCGACTCGCTGGAACGCTTAGAGAAAATTCTCGGTTGGCATTAGAAAAACATAGCAAACATCTTTTTTCCCATGCAAATTAACTTTTTGGTAGGATTGGTAGGATGTTGTTATCTTGAAGAATCTGAATACATAACAAAGTGCTTTTTTCTCAGAGAACCAGCGCTATCTGGCGGGGGAGAGTCTTTCCGACGCGGACATCCGTTTGTGGGTGACACTGGTGAGTAGAAAAAAGGAATCCCGGGAAAACAGAGAAAATCAATAGATTCGATTCGATGCTGTCTACTCGATCTATTTAAAATGCAGCAAGAAACGCATCTTGGACTACCCGAATCTTCACGGTTATCTCAGGTGAGTGACCAGGAGATCGGCGAGTACAACAGGGGGACGAATAATAAAATTTTGATAATTTATTGATTAAAGTTGGGTTTTTTGCTTTAATTTCAACGGAGATCGCACTGTTGGACTACCGTATTTCCTCTAAATGACATTATTTTTTTCAAAGACCTCAAAATGGTGGGACAATATTAGAGGTGGGGCACTAGTAGAGGTAGGCCATCTGAAATGGCGAGTCTGGGCTTCGACCACTGGTCTGACTAAGACTGCTGGTCTGATTGGTTAGCCCAGATTTGTCCAGAATGGTTAATGTTCTGGGCTCAGACTGGGTCATCTAAAAGATAAGTCTAGGTGCAGACTGCAGATTGATTAAAGTTGCTTTTTACTTCAATTTCAATAGAAATCGCACTGTTGGACTACGGTATTTCCTCTAAATGACATTATTTTTTTCAAAGACCTCAAAAGGGTGGGACAATATTAGAGGTCTGAATTTAAACTGTTAGGGTGGGACACAAATAAAGATGGGGCATTATTAAAGGAAATACAGTATATTCTAGGGATATTTACCAACATCCGGGCATCGCTGAGACGACAAATTTCAATCACATCAAGGCTCTCTACTTCCGCTGTGGCAAAACGTTGAATCCGTCGGGTAGGAGTTCACTCATCGAAAAACATTTTGCTTAGAACGCAATCATTTGGTTCATAACTTTTATTTCTAAAAATGAGAAAATGTTTAGGCAAAAAGTAAAGTAAAGCACCGTATTTATTCTAATTGAAGCTCAGTCTCTAATACAAGGTGTCCCAAAATTATCCGGACAAAGTGTTTTGAATGTAACTTCTCACATCGTTAAACAATTTTCCTACTTTCTTTAATTCTCTAAATAATTATAGTAGTCTTAAAGTCAAAAACTAACAGAAACTTAAGCTTATTTTTCAGTTACGAGAGTATCTAAAAAGTTTTTAATTCAAAGCTTGGTGATCGTCTAATCGACGTCTAAAACTATATTCCAGTTCCGAAAGGGAACAGCTCACTACTTGTTTCACCTCATTTACTTTTAAATCGCTCAGTCGTTCAAGAAAAATCAAACTTAACTGATTTAACAAACTTTCAGCTGTAAATTTTAGCCATAAAAAGGCTGCGCGCCGAGGGCGCCAAGATTGCTTGCTTTGGGGATTTGAAGCTGCATTGGAAGGCCCCTCTCGACTTTCTGATCAAAAGAAATTAGTTTATTGTTGAAAATGTTGCAAATTTTGTGAAAAAAGAAGAAAGTAGGGATTGTTCAACTGCACGGAGAGTTGCACCCAAAAAACTTTGCCCGGATAATTTTGGAACACCCTGTAGAAGCCACAAATTTTAAAAAGCATCACTTTGCTACCGTACACTATTTCATTTATTTTTCTTGCAAAGCGCCTCTAGAATCCTCATTATTTTTACGTTTATTAAACTTTTTTCTGCTTTCTTTGTTTTTTTTATAAAATTGCTAATATGTTTATTTTTGGGTGTGATGGCTGAGCGACCAACAATTTGTTTGGATTCTCTCGAAGAATATCGAGCTCTACAAGAACACACCGAACACGAGGATTTCTTCAGGGAACAACAGAAAGCAAGTGAATTGATGAATAGAAAGCCGGAGCCGGAAAACGATTACTCAAATTCTCTCGATGACGCAAATGAATTGATGAAAAGCTCATTGTTGTTCGATGAACCGGAAATGAGAAGACGAAGATCTCAGTGGTGCTGACGGCTTGAGTATATAGCCTCAAATGCAAGCCTTTTGTTCTTTTACCAAGGAAACGAGTCGACCCGGCCATTCAACAGCGATTTGGTAGCAAGTTGAATCTTCTATGGGAAGGATGAATGAGGATTTAACGGCTGTTTTTCTCAAGAGGTCATTCCAGAAGGAGCTGTCAAATTGTGTCAGGCTTAGAACGAGGCGAAGATCGCTCTCACTTGTTGAAGGAAATCGATCTTGGCGAAGATGAGGAGATCAAGTGCGACGACAGTGATGTCTCTATTGAAGTAGGCAATGTTAACGAAAATGATGTCGATAATAATGATTTAAATGATATGTTTGCTTAAAAATGTTTTTCACTCTGTTAATTGATTGTTGCCTATTTTTAAATGTTGTTTTACTTGAATGAATAAATCATAAATTGTTATTATTTGTAAGTGATAACTTCTAGTAAGCTATTTGATCAATTTTGTTGGAAAGGTTGGAAAATAGAAGCAATTTTAGGAAGGGGGTTGAAAAATTGAAGCACATGTGCTTCTTATTAGAAGAAATTCGTTAACTTTAGGCATCGTTCCAATAGGACCCGATATGCGACTCGATGTGCCACACGGAAGAAATAAGTAGATTTTTGGTACTTAACGCTGAATAAATCTCTCATTTTGCACTATAATTCAGGAAAAACACATTCGAATCTCAAATTATAACGTAATGTTCAAAGTTTCTAATAAAATTTAATGCAACGTCCTAGATGCTATGAAATTTGTTTAGTTTTATCTGTTTCTGAGCGGAAAGCAAGAAAAAATACTTTTTATTGCTCTCGAAAAATCTCCATTTTATTTGGGGGCATTTCGCGAGGCACCAATCGAGAAAACCGATGGCTGTTTTCAGGGCAAAAGCGGCAAATTCTGGATTCTTTTCAAGTTGCTCGGTCAACTCGGTGCAAGCATCATCTGGTTTTAGAATCTTCTGTGACTCTGTGCTTTGATGGAGAAAGTTTTATTATGGCCAAAGATTTTTGGAAATGAATTCATTATTAGTGACACTGCATAGGCATTTTGAAAGAAGATTTTGAAAGACTTTTGAAAAACGTTTTTTCGCATAAGACTTTCGAAAGGGAAAGTATAAACGTTTGAAGCCAGGAACTTTATATATCTAGCTGAATTTATAGCAGGCTCAGGACCACATTCTGTTTGTTGATTGGTCTCAATTTCTATGAAATTCGGTTTCAAAACCTCAAAAATGTGAACTAACTTTTCACATCTATTGTCCAATCAGGCTGTTTTTGGTAACACTAGGTCGTACTTGATGTTATCTATCAATTGAAACTGATTTGAAACAATTTCCTAAATTTGTAGCTTTTAGACTTGCCATAGATTTACTCAAATTCTAAATGAAAAAGATTCCAAATGGTGCTCACCTAAATTCTCTTTTACTCGAAATAACGATAAAATGATTACTCTCGATACAATGATTTACTCGATATAACAATTCAAAACCTCGATCCTAGCCAAGCTTTTAATAAAATCTTAAGGGTACTTCTTAAAGGGGAGATGCGGATCGAGACCAATTTTCAACAAAATCTTTTTTCCCTAAATTTGACTATGTTTTGATTTAACAAAAACAATTTTCATGCCTGTTAGGGTAATTTTTAAGGTTCAATTTTTTTGAAAACATCGTTTCAGCAAAGGTTTTCATACAAAAACCCTCTTTTTCTTTAAGTCTAACAGATCTGACTCTGATAGAAGAAGAGCTCTTCTTCGTTCTCCCGTCTCTAAACCTAAAATTTTTTAAAATTTCTTTCTACAAAAAGTATTAGGCTTTGGAGTTCCCTTTCCGACCATGTTCAAAAAATGAAGTCCCTCTTTTCCTTCAAACAGTAACCTTCTTACTCTCACGCTTTAACCGATGCTTTGATCCCTCTTTAAAGTCAGCTTCAAAAGTCAGAGTCAAAAGACGGGCTTACTGTTTGCAAGACGTGATCAATGGGGGTGTTCATTGTTTGTCAATTGAGAAAAAGGATGGCTAGGAGACTCGAACTTACTGTTCTTTGGTTCCTTTGAAAGTGGAAGTCAAATTGTGTAAATAATCGCCTGAAGATAGGGTACTAACTCTCTAGAAAAGACCTATATAAAGCCCGGAAACCCTTCCGCTCTTTAGAAAACTAAAAAAATGTGGGCGATTTCTCTGACTCTTCTCTTCGCTTTATCCGTTCAGTTGGCGACCGCTCATCAGACGGAAAACACAATTACGGTATGATTTTAGTCTTATAATAAGTACAATCCATAAAAATCTGATAAATCCAAACGACTTTTCGATTAAAAAACTTTAGTCATGATTTTTAAGGGCTCAGAGCAATCATTTGCAATCACATTAAATCTGTTTTTGATTTCAAAAAAAGTGACAACAGAGCTAAACAAAGACATTTGTTCAGCCAACAAAATGCGGAAAATCGCAACGTTGTTTCGGTAATAATTTTATAGAGTAGAACAACACATGGTTGATAGATTTTGACACATTTTTCTAACAAACGAGGGTCAACTGGATAAACTAGCCAAATGACATAAGCCATATAATATTCGATGCAGAATTTTACGCCGAATCTAATGCTGATATGCGTTTTTGCTAAACGCCACTCTGTCAAAAGTTATAAGCGTGCAAAATTTTGCAAGAAGTTTCAAAAATCTAGCATAGACTTTAAAACCGAACTCTTCAGATAAGGCAAAAAGTGCTGTGGTGGCCGAGTGGTAGTGCGTTACTTTTTTTGGGTTTGAATCGCTTATGTGTTCTCCGCTTCAAATTCGCTTTTTTACCCATTTCTTTACAAAAAAAATCCATTTAAAAAAAATAGTTATTTAAATTTAAACCAAAAAGAAAAACAAAACAATCCGTTGACGGATTCGAACCCGGCAGGCCACGCTTTCTATTCTAACTTGTTACCACTTGACCACCCTTACACTTTTTCGTTGTCTTCGTTGTCGGTTTCAAGGTCCATGCATTTTTGAAACTCGATACGAAACTTTCAAAGCTTATAATTTTTGACAGAGTGTTCAGCAAGAACGGAAAGGAGCATTGTGTTCGGCGTGAAATTCTGCTTTAAGTTAAGTCAAGAAAGTTCAATTTTAGCGATATCAAACAAGATTTTTACAGGATATAAGCTCGGTGTCCTTTTTTGCTTTGCTTTGCTTTTTACAGGATATAAGCTCAAAATCGAGGAAAATACTATATTTTTCAACAGGATAATGCTTCAATTCTTGTCAGCCAATCCACTAAAGCTTTTCTGGAACGTCACAACATCGATTATCTCGAATGACGGCTTCAAAACTAATTTTTTTTTGCAATTTGTTCAAATAACATCGAAAATGGTATATATGCCTATTTTTGTTTATATTTCTAGGATTTAAAAGCTATTTCGCGTTATTAAATTTCATAGCCATAAAAATTTAGGGGTGGTCCTATCATCTTGCAACGCACCTTACATCAAGGCCCTGCCCTGGCTATAGTACCATTTTAAGTAGCTTTTAAACTCTTCACTTGAAGTAATTGTTACCATTTCCCCCAGGCTTACGATAGGCACTAACCGATTCCATCTAACCGTCGAAATGTGGAGGATGATCCCTCGAAAAATGTGTCCCGTCCTTTCCAGCATAGAATCCGCGTCGCCGATCTAAAGTAAATGACCCTTTGATTAAAATGCATGATCTAAAATCTGATCTAAAAGGTGGGGTTATGAAAAAGGCACCGTAATCCCTAAGATCTGATGTTCCTGGCATTGTCACTTTTTTCTTATTCTTGATTTCAGAATTTGTGGGATAAAAGATGGCAATTCACCCTTCTTAATTTTACCCTCATCCTTAAGTACGGTATCGTTTTGCCTAAACTCCAACGGTCAACCTGTCTATTATCAGGTGAAAAGTAATTGATGGTAAACGGGAATACAACTAAATTCTTTACAAACTCTATGACACGTTTGGCTTCAACTACCTTCGCTTCTTTGCCAAAAATCTGCCTGTCGAAATTTGAGGTTGTGAGTGCGAGATTTTATTTTTTGATGTTTTATCGTGATATGTGAATACGATTTTGTGCTTCTTTATTTTTCAGTGTTGAAATTTTGCAGCAAATTGTTGTTTTCTGGATGATGTTATACATACCTTTATTTCGTTTGCAAACGTGTTTTTTTGTTTTTTTGAACTAAAAATACAATAATTTATTAAAGTATTCACAAAAGCAAAATCACGCAGCCAAAATTACACTAAAAATATGAGTTGAGAAACATTTTTCAGAACAAAAAAGTAGCACAGAAAAACCTCGTAAAGAGAAAGTTCAATTAGGGTAGCTGAGAGTTTTGGATGCTGTTAATTCTCGATTGTTCCTGTTTCCTTTTGTTGTCCGGTAATTTGAATGGGAATCTCTTGCCCGTTCAGCTGTTTCTTCTTTTCAATCAATGGGGCATGAATTGAGAGATTTCCATTTTGATCGAGTGATGATTGAAGTGACGAGAGATCGATTTGATCCACGGGAATTCGAATGGAACGTTGCAAACGGAGGTGGACGGAGCCCTGAAATATGTGGGGTTGAATGGGGTGAAGAAAGGAACGCTTTTCGAGAATAACTAGCATCAAATTTTATGGTTAAGCATTAAGATTAAGATTCTTCAATTTGAATCGACTATACTTAGTAATTAACTTTAATTTTTCACCTGCTCATTCTCCTCTTTGTGCTCTCCTTCAATCGACAAAACATCCCCGTCCAATCGCAATTTCAATTCATCGGGTTTATACGAGGAGACATCGCATTTCACGGAGAAACCCTCATCACTCAACGAAATCTAAAAAGTGAGTTCTGGTATTGAAAAAGTTAAGCTACCTTATAAGCTACTTACGATTTCAAAAGTCTATGACAGAGTTAACAAGCAAATTTGCCTTAAAAAGATACCATTTCTTGTTGCTGAAGGTCTCGATGGATTGTTGGTCCATCGAAAGCCCTTTCCAATGAATTGATCGTTTCGAAGATATCATTGAAGGGATGTCGACGGCTGAATGGACGACAGAAATTGTTCGAGGGAAAAAGAAGAAGTGACATTTGGAAGTGTGAAGGTAGTTGTTGATAGCAAGATGTGTTGATTTGAGTTGATGACCGCTGGAGTGAACCGTCGGTTTATATAGGATTCGATGGGGCTTCCGGGAGGTTCTCGAAAATTCTGGAAACGGAGTCGACACTTGTTTTCCCCTTCCCCTCTTTTGCCTCTTTCGAAAAGAACCTTTCTCGGAGTCTCTCGAAATCACTCGATATTTCGTCTCTTTCTGCCAGCCCTTTCTTGTGGTCTTTTTATCAAAACCATGGAACAAAAGGAGTAAGGCCATAATGCGGCACCAAGAGCTGGTAAACAATATTTCAGCTCAATTCTGCGATCTCCTCTCTTCACTTTTGTTCAACGGCGACCAAAGAAAAAGCCACGGTGCACAAGATAAATACAGTCACGCTTCTCATCGATTCTTTTCAAATAGCAATCAAATGGACCATCAGGAGAAACATAATGCTCAACCCTTCTCTTGATTAGCCTACGATTCAGAGAACGAAGAGAATGATCAGACTCAGAACGATGACAACCCTGAATAATAAACTCGTATTTTCTCAGTGTCTCTATAATTGTATCAGATTTGAATTTGAGAAGATTGGGCATCTCGACCGGTCCTTCTCGATGTTCAAGGGAAGCATCGTCAATCGAATTTTTTTGGATCTCAGTTGGTATCAATGGAAGGGAGATGATGAGAATTATCGCTCTCTTTTGAACTTATTCCAAAACAGGATCAAGAATTGCAAGGAGGTCTGGTTGAGAGGACGTGCTGAGGAGGTTTACTTTTTTCGCAAGTTTCTCTGGAAAACCAGGTCGAAATGATACTTTTTGAGGTCATCAATGAGCAGAATGTGCAGAAATGGTGATTCGTTGGATTGTTACCAACGGAATTCCGAGTCAAAATCGAGGTGCAGCGATTTGGCTCACATTTACAAATACTGACTTGAAGATCTTCACAAATTGACCCGGAATTCGGGAAGTCGACGAAGAAAGGCAAGCGAAAACTTGGAAAATGATGCTCGAAACTCTCAAAAACTTTTCAACTGCACAAAACGAAACCGACTCAAGCATTAAACCTATCCATTATCATGTGAAAAGCATTGATATCGAACGGGATTGCATCTACATCGTTTACAAATACGATAACGATCGCTACCTGCGCTTCTTTGCCAAAAGTATGCCTGTCGAAATTTGAAGTTCTAAGTACGAGATTTTAGTCTATGATGTTTTATCGTGATATGTGATCATTTTTTGTGATTTTTTGAGCGTTCTACTCTGTCTATGCATAAATAAATACTTCGCTCTAATCAACAAAATCAAATAAAATAGCGTTTGGCTTCAATGCTGCATGTATTTATTGAAGAGTTTGTATTGGTTCTAAGCTTCAGAAACGCCAATGAAGCTATGATACATTTTTGATCGAATTGGTTTCTGCGGAACATAGGTGAAGAGAGGAGATCGGAGAATTGAGCTGAAATATAACATAGAAAGAGCCTCAAGCTAGGAACACACTAGCGTAAGAAGTGCAGATTTTTGTGGCTGAAAATAGTCAAATCTACCTTATAAACTACTTACGCTTTGAAAAGTCTATGACAGAGTTAACAAGCAAATTTGCCTAAAAAACATCTTGACAATTTATTGCCATGCCAAGCTATTAGCACTTCAAATCGCCAAATGAGTGTCATTGTCCACTGTCACAGAGTTGTTTGTCTCCCTATCATCAAGCCTTTCTTGTGGTCTTTTTATTAAAACCAGGGAACAAAAGGCAAAAAGAGTGAGACCATAATGCGACACCAAGAGCTAGTAAACAATATTTCAGCTCAATTCCGCGATCTCCTCTCTTCACGTATGTTCAACGATGACCAATTTCTAAAGTTTACAACAAAGTCAAACTCTTCAATAAATAATGCAGCGTTGAAGTCGAACGCTATTACATTTGGTTTTATTGATTGAATCAAATATTTATTTATGCATAGACAGAGTAAAAAGTGAAAAAAAAATCACAAAATAGTACTCACATATCACAATAAAACATCACCAAACCAAATCTCGTTATCAAAACTACAAATTTCGAAAGGCACATTTTTGGTAAAGAAGCCGAAGTAGGTGCCATAAACTAAATAAGTCCTGTCATAAAAGTAATTTTACAAAATACAAAGTATTGGGGCATCAACTAACACGGTTAGAATTGAATGGATGAAATATATTTGGCGAAGAAAAAGTGACTGTTCACAACATAAATACAGTCACGCTTATCGTCGATTCTTTTCAAATAACAATCAAATGAACCATAAAGATAAACATCATGCTCAACCCGTCTCTTGATTGGACTACGATTCATAGAAGGGAGAGAATCATCAGAATCAGAACGAGAATGATCAAAATCAGAACGAGAACGACAATCATCACAACACTCAACCCTAAACCCGTGCTTTCTCAGAGTTTCCATCATTGTATCTCCGATCAAAGTCTTGTTTGGTTCGTTGACCTCACGAATTTCAGGAAAGTTCTTGATCAAATTCAGCTGACAATTCACCTCGCACGACACAAGCGGCTTCTTTATTTTCAATCGGAATTCCGGAATTCAGAATCCACTCATTTGAATAAACATTAGTCATAAATAACTCAAGTTGAGTTTTCGAAAGTGCTTCATAAACTGCTGGATAAAAATCAGGATCGTCATAAAGGTCCACTGAGATCATTTTGCAATTTTGAAGGCTTCCATTGATCAAAGACAACATAACTTCTAAATCTAAATCGTTGAAATTCAATGATGCTCGATCGGCGACTTCAGCCTTTAAATTCAACAAAAAATCGTTGAACTTGTCCCCATAGAGCTTAACTTCCAACTCGTCGACTTGCTTCAAATTCGCGAAGGCCTTCTTGAGTGCCGAAAGTTTCTTCGTATTAATCGATCCCCATCCAGCTTCTGAAATCTCCAAAACCAAACATCGTTCAACCTGGGACAGGAGAAGGACTTTATGTGACAAGAAATAAAATGGAAGAGGCCTTGATTCAGCGAATTTCATGATGAAGACTATAGCATGGTAGCGTTTGCGTCCATCATCCAGACTTTCCCGGTGATCCGAATAAAAATCTCGTGCTTCCATCTCGATCCTCATCAAATGGATTTGTTTTCCAAGAATCCGTGCTGGTTTCTGGAGAAGAATCCAGCGAAACCTTCTGTCAACTTTGATCAATTCGGGCACATCTTTTGGCTCCAATTCATCGATTACTTCCAAAACCAGATCGCAGCAGAGTTTGCCCCTCGGGAATTTGAGAAGATCGGGCATCTCGACTGGAAGGTCTGCCATTCTGCCTGAAAATTTAAAAATTAGAAAAGAACAATCAGTGAATATATGACAGAAAAGTTGGCTACAGAGCAAAAACAATCAACAAGGTGGGGATATCTGCCGGTTTTTAACTAAAGTTGGATAAGATCTTTGATTTTTCTAAAGGTTGTGATGATTTTTCGTGCATGAACAACAATAATCAAAGTTTTACATCTAAAAGGTGCTAAAATTGATTCAAAAGATTTAAACAGTCGCTGTTTTTGTTAAGCAAAAACGTGTCGTAGACCAAAAATGGCCCATTTGCTATCAAAACAATACTTAAAACTAGTGAGATATGCGTTTAAAAAGGTAGAAGTCTATTCTGAAAAGGAACAACTCAAAAAGCTCAAAATAAGGCAGAAAAGATCACCAATAACTTTCGGAGAGAAGAGAAGAATGATTTCCCAAGCGCAAAATTTCCGTTTTACCCCATCAATTGGTACCGTAGCTCATGAGGTTGTCATTTAGAATTCGAATTTGGATGTCTCGCTCCAATTTTTTTCAACGGTAATTCATGGTTTCATTGAAGTTTTTCAAATTTTAAACTTTTTATCGATTGAGAATAGTCTAAGTGTACACTATAAGGACAATTCTTATGCCGTAAATACTGCAATGAAACCTTAACCTATAGGAGCGTCACATATTTACGGCGGTCTAGGGATGCAGATACACTCTGGGCTGGATAATTTATATTCATATCTAGTCAAACCTCTCTATAACGACACATCTGTTTAAAGTCACCCTCTATCTAACGTCAAATTTTTTGATTTGTTTGGCCACCACAGAAGATGATGAGAAAAAAACCCTCTATATAACGACACTCTTTATAAGGTTAACCTCTATGTAACGTCACTTTTCGCCTAAATTATACACTATTTTGTTTTCCAAATAACGACACTTTTTTACCAAAACGTGACTTTTTAAAGATTCTTTTGCTAAAATGCCCTTAAGCTACCGTAATTTTAGCTTTACAAAACGAGATTTTGTTAGAAATTTTTCTCAAAGACTGAAAAATAAATAACAATTGAATACATTGCAGATGAGATTCTTCGTTGATTGAACGGCTCGATTCTAGAGCCCGTTGGCTCTGGAAGCTGAGCTGAGGCCATTGGCAACATATGATAAATGAATAACTCGACAACTAACTTATGGACAAGAGAAATGGTGATAATGAATTGATAGACGAGACATAGTATCAATCCGATCGCAAACACCAAAAAGATGGCTTTGTTGGCTGAAGACGGCTCGCATGGAGGAGAAGTCGTGGGTGCAGCTGGACGTTGTAACGTTGGAAAGGGTGATGAAACAGAAAAAAAGGACATTTAGTTAGTGCACCTTTTCCATATTCAATGGACCTTAGAGAAAGTCTCGTTGATGAGTGATGTGAATCGACAGAGCTCTTCAAAAGAGTGCGGTGAATGGCATAGATAGTGAAGAATGATCGAGTCGATTCCAATCTGAAATCAGACGTAGAGTTTGAACCTAAAGGGGCTGCTTCTTTTATAATGTAGCATATAGTAAAAAGTGTG